AGCTTTCGCGTTGCCTGAAAGACGTAAAAATGCTTTTTTAACGTTGTGTTGAGAATGACAACGCGGTTGACAATACTCATGGGACCACAAATTATTGACAGTTTTTGTCTTGCATGACAAATTTCTTTGTAAGTTCTTTGTGGGTTTGCATGACGATAAAACACATAATACTATTGTTTGTGGAAACACCCTATTTCTTTGTTTTGAAAGCGCGTCGTCGAGGCGGCCGCGTCGTAGATCGTAAACTCCCTAATGACCCGCGAGGACGCTTTTTGATGGGTCGTTTTTTAAGCCATTTAAAACACTCGCATTCGTGACTCGTGCTGCGCACTTGTGTTTGATCTGCCAAAGCACTCCTTCTCGTGTTTTAAATAGCACATAGGTACTGCTATAGCAGAAAATTGTGATCGAAAATTACATATTTATTGATGCTAGGTAATTCAGTTACAATTACAGGATATTATAATCCACTATATATAAAATTACATAATCATGGCGCAAGAAAATCAAGGATATATATGTAATGTTCTGCCACCGATTTGAAAACTATGATTACATGAGACAAAATGTTAAATGCAAGTCCACTCTAAAATCTTTTAAGATTTTAAAAATTCAGTAAAGCCAATAAGCAAATAAAGATAACAGCAAATAAGTAACTCAAGTCACTAAACACTACTCTCTTTGCAATTTGTCACCTTGTTCAATTTCTTGACCTTTTTAACTTTCACCGTTGTTGATGTTAATCAATTCCACAAAAATGCGTTGTTTTCACGTTTATCAACTTTCAAAATATCAATTAGCAATACAATCATGCCAAACCCTAAAGTCTACTAATCATTACTAAAAACATGCAATTTACTTTTAAACTCTTACGCAGTTATTCTATATCTTTATTAAACACTATGCTCACTTGCATACTAGATTCTAAAGTCTAATAATCATTCAGTTATAATTGTATAAATTCAATTTATTCTTAGTATCAAAAACAATTATATCAACGGTGGCACCAGAGGAGGGAGAGACTACAGCCCCTTGTCGGGGGAGCCAGCCCGCCCCTCCCCCTGTTGAAGACAATTGCATTCTAGCGCATGGTATCCTCAAAATGCTGGATGGGAAATACCGTTTCACGGACTCCTCCCCAGAGAGGTTTTTGCCTGTACGATCTTAGTCCCCCCTGGCGCCACCACTGAATTATATACTGTTAAAGGAAAATGGCAATATAAATTTTTATCTTGTCATTTGAAAGAACTTTTGAAACTATATATTCTTTTACAGAGTTTTCATACTTGCTTACTTCTTGAAATATTTTCACTTGAAGTAATGAGATGTCCGCCATCTTGGATAAATTTTTTATCTCATTAACGGTAGTTTTGGTGACGTCACAACAGGGATTAACCTTATAAAAGTATCCGTTGCTGACCAAATATTGATTGGTGGTAGATGTTTGAAAGGTTTTGAGTAATCTTGATATTTCGAAGGGCAGACAGAGTATAGTTTCGAGTGCAAAATGATTAATTAGTGGTGAATTGTCTAGATATAAAAATATGGCGTGACCACTGTTGTGACGTGACATGCATATCTACAAAAATTGAAGATGGCAGACATTTCCTTCCTTTTAATCAAAATATTTGATATATAGTCTTAAGTTTTTTCAAACGAGAAAATCAAAAATATATTGCCACTCCCCTTTAATTGAACATTTTGAGACTAAAAATTAGTCAAGAAAACCTCCATGGAAGTACACTCTTTCCATTCTCATAACTAATGTTATTTCTTGAGGACGCAGTCACCATTCTAAGTAGGCCTATTCAGTTGCTGAAATTCCACTTTAATTTCCCCATTAGTTTCGTTTGAACTGTAAACCTTCAAAACACGTTTCAGTTTCAACTTCAAAGCAGTAATTTTTGCCGCTTTTTGCTCGCCGCTATTTTTTCTCCAAACGAAATCGAAAATAATCGGTAATATAGTGGCGGCCATAGAACCAATTACTTGAACACTGCTTGTGACACCGGATCTCTCAGACAATGATATCATTGTGTATAAAAAGAAGGCGAAGACTGTAACAAAGAATATTCCCATAAAATAGTAAAACAAAACTCGATCGTACGGCAGGAACTTTTCCCTGACTATATTATACAGCTTTTTTGGAATAATTGGTTCTCCATCATCGTTTAACTTTATAACATGAAGCTTAGTTTCAGCATCGTTAGCGCTATCATCTCTTTCCCCTCCAGAGTTAGCGAGTGCAGTAGGTTGAACAGGTGTAGTTTCTTTGCAAACTTCGTAAATGGTCGTAATTAGTACTAAATTTTTTGTTTCGACCGAAGATTTCCAATTAGTCCATGAATATAACAAGATAGTGGAAAGTGGAAAAAAATAATTATTGTATGTTTCTCCGTTTAGAAACAGACCAATGGTAAATAAAAACGTACAACTAAAGAATGTATGGGAAGAATACATGAGTAGCGCGGAGGTAGAGAGATGCCCCGAATAAAAACCTGTTGCAGCTAGAACTTCTGACGAATTTGACGGATCCCGTTTATAAAATTTCCAAAAATAGAAAGATAAAAGCAATAACGCAAAAACACATAAAAACGGGAAAGCGATTCCAACATATAAAAGGATTAAAATAAAAATAGATATACGGTACTTCCATATTTCAACACATCCGATTGTTTCCGGGTAATTTTGTCGAGAATATTCAACACCATCTTGGGACTCGTTTCCATGTTGCTGTACTTGTACCTCTAATAATCCAGTACGCTCTGTCATTTCAGTTGACTCTCTATTTAATAATCCAGTACGCTCTGTAACTTCACTCGACTCTCTATTTGGTAATCCAGTACGCTCTGTCATTTCAGTTGACTCTCTTTTTAAATCTAACTTCAAGTTATTATAGAAACGTGGCCATTCCTTACTGACCTTCCGCCACCATAATTTCAAATTAAATGGCAAAGTAATAATCTCGAAAGAATTTCTAAAGATATCTTTAGAGAAAAGAGATGAGTCATTCAGTACGAAATGAGCGTGTTGAAATAAATCATCGTTAAAGCTGTATAAATCGGAAATCATGAACAGTAATGTCCATAAACCTAGAAAGATATACCAAAATATTGTAGAAAATTCAGTTACATCAACATTCCACACGGGTAAACGTATCACAAGTACAAAAATTAAAAATAACAGTTTCCTTCCAAAAGACTTTGCTGGACCATGACCTTCGATAAATATCGTATGAAATATAGATGAAATTGCCATTGGACTATCGGAGATCGTGTAATGTTCACTTTCTTTCTTAAACCGACTTAAATAGTCTAGCATTAAAGGCAACGCTAGATAAGGAAAAAACAACACAGTTGCAACTGTAATGACGATATAAAAATTTGTCACAATTGACGAATAGTAAGAGCAGATTGGTATATTTTTATCTCCAACTATCGCACAACAATTTAATGTGAGGTTGTCGGTGCGACACAACTGATAATCGGTGTCATCATCACTGACAAGATAAAGCCGACGCAGGAGGAAATCAAAAATGGCATTATCCAATGTATTGTTTCCCGACAACAAACACCTTTCGTTTTCTTCAGAAACAACAATGTTCACATCGCGAACTCCAGCAGTCAATGTAACGTTTGGCAGAAATCTAATCAGTGATTGTAGGTTTCTTGTTTCAAATATTAACGAGTATAATGTACGACCTATTTCATTTGCCCATTGCATGTCTGTTAGGACTCGAGTTTTATTCAGGAGAGTCATAGTATCATTGACCGATTCAATCCAGACATTCAGTTTTATTACATTCGTTTTGCTATTGAGCATTAATTTTAAGACACTTTTAAGGGATGATTCTAAAATGTGAAAATGGCAAGCAGTCGAAGTATTGCTCGTCGAGTTTGTCACAACCCCTCTTGCGATGGATCCAATCTCATCGTTTCTGGAAACCTCTGGGACAGCCGATTCGTTGATTTCTGGCAAACACGCAATTACAAACGGTATTAATATTAATTCTTTGGCAGACAGAGTCATCTTTACAAGCAACGAACTCACACTTCTTGGAAAAAGGCTTCTGAAAAAGAAGTATATACAATGTTCAAGAGAGTGCATTATCAGTTATATCATGATCTATTTTTCTTTTTTTTTGAAAACAACGTTTCTGAGTCAATAGACAACTGCATTATTAAAATATGTTGCATGTTAGCAACAAAAGAATGCTTTCAAAAAACATCGTTCCATTTAAAACAATTTTTTGTTCTTATTCTTGTATTTAAGAAACCGCTATCAAATTATATATCGCGGGCTCAACATACAGATATCTGCTGGCTGGCAGCCATTTTGGACTGTACGATCTTATGCTAAATCAGATGATTACAATATATCCAGTATATGTATCAATGTATATAATAATATCCTGAAAGATCTACAAATTGTTCAAACAAGCATATTGTCGGCGATTTTGTTTTTCTGACGGATGCGAATGATCGAACTGGCACACACAGGCTTATAAACCGGCGTAATGGCACTTACCAAAGAAATGTGAAAAACTATATTGAATATTTTGGCTTTTAAAATGAGTGATTGTGAGCAATTTTTAGGCACGCTAGTTAAATTTTATTGCGTTATTGTATTGCCTTTAAAGTGCTTCTGCAACGAATTTTTGGACCTACTTTTTTAGCTTAAATAAAAATTCAGTCTTTCCGCCACCATATTGATGCCGTGTGACGTCTTAGGGTCAACGGGAACGAAGATATGAAGGCCGTATTTGTAGTAAATTACATAGCGCGTCAACATATCGCAGTGGAATTTTTGCCTATTTCACTTGTTTTTGGCGCAAATAACTGATTTTTTAAAAATACAAGAACAAGTACTATATCTTATTGTTTATTTGACGGCGGTATGACGGTTAGCGACTCAAATAATAGGGTCAGTACTGCATCTGAAAGTCATCGGCTAGTCCGCTTTGATATACGATGATGAACCAGTTCACTAGACGAAGTGATAGAGACATTAACGCCGCTGCAGATAGGCAACACACCAGCTGTGTTGGAGCAATCAAGCGATGCATGGTAGAATACCTGTAAAATTAGTGGCAAGTAGATCATTTTTTGTGCATATATTATTGTATATTTGTGCTCGCCTCGGTATTATGTCTGATTGTTTGAACACATCTGATGTGTGTAACTTTATATTTATTATGAACGGATTGTGCGTGACAAAAAATAATAAGCTTTATAAACACAAGCATATTTATAGCCTATTCGTAATACTCAAAATGATTTTGATTTTGTTTTTAAGATAGGTGTAGTTGGCAATAGATAACAATAATAATAACAATATTTATTTTGCCATATATATATATATATATATATATATATATATATATATATATATATATATATATATATATATATATATATATATATATATATATATATATATATATATATATATACATACATACATACATACAATTAGAAACAAGAAAAAAAAATAGGTACAAGAAGGAAGGAACTGTAATTAATTGTATCGGATGGCGAGGAGACCTCCAGAAACCACCAGGCTTGTACAAGGGAGGCCACCTCTTGATGCAAGAAGATTATATAATAAGTAATATTATTATTGGATTATTGGA